TATATATATATATATATATATATACCATTCTCTTACAAGTTCACATAATAGCACATTACCTATCAATAGCATTGTTAAGGGTGAAAAAAACAAAATGCAAAACAGTATGTATAACGATCCCAGTTGTATAAAATGTCTGTACCATATATGTTTCTACATGCGCAGGAACTAGAATCATGCTGTCCAAACAGTAGCCACTAGCCACATGTGGCTTTCTAAATTTAAAATAACTAAATAAAAATTCAGTTCCTCAGAGGCAGTAGTTTTAACCATTTAGCCCTAGATCCTTTGTGAGTTTAATCACCAATATACCTTAGAAGTATGTGAAATAGTTTATATTTGAATCATTGTCTGTATCACTAACTGTCACAATTTCTTCCAATCTTTTCAATTTAGGGAAAACAAAGAGGAAGACTTAATAGAAAAATTGGAGGTAGTCACAGTGCCCTCCCCATCACCAAAAGGACTGCCGGTGAAACGTTACGCTGTGCAGTCCCAGCTTCCAGTGTATGAGTGGCCGGATGTGGGATCTGGAGAATATGATGTTGGAGTAGTGGCTTCCTTTGGCCGACTTTTGAGTGAGGCCCTTATTCTTAAATTTCCCTAGTAAGTCTTAATTGTCAGGAAATACAGTATAGAAACTTTGGTCTTTATAAATGGACCTGGTACCTTTTATAGTATGGTAACTTGAACTCTTAATTCTACTTTTCTTTAGTATTTTCTCTTAAAAGATACTGTTTGTGGCATGGGTTGTTAAAGTGTATTAGGCTCCTTACCACTTTCTCTGGGCTCTTATCCAGCCTAATCCTCATTTAAATTCTATATCCATATGCTGACAACTCCCAAATTTATCCCTCCAGCCCAGATTGCTCTCTAAACTCGAGACTCCAAACACCCCAACTGTGTCCAAAACTCTGCTTGGATGTCTAATAGACATCTCACATTTAAAACCACGTACCCAAAACCTGCTTTGCCTCAAATTTTCATCTCAGTAAATGGCAATTCTATCCTTCTACTTGCTCAGCCCAAAATGTTAGAGACATCATTGATTCCTTATTTCACATCCTAATACTCGACAGCAGTAGATTTATACATACATATATATATATATATATATATATATATATACCA